TCGTTGACTTTGGACTACGTTGGATCCAGCCTACCGCATAGGCTACTCTAACATGCAAAGAGCAGGCAAAGAGCATGCCGTTATCAACGTCAGAACCTGCGCCCAGCTAGAGAATATTGGCTGGATCCAACCAAATCCCCCCCAGCACAGATCCTGGAATTCAATTATGTGGCCTTATCTCAGGTGTTGCGGTCAAAACGTTACGAGTGCTATAAAGACTGCCACCAAAGATCGTAGAGTGCTGAGTGGGAAGCCCGTTGCCAGTAACCCGCTGATCGCTTTCCTTTGCTTCTGCTTCAAGCCGACTTTCTTTGCTGCACTCTCGATTGCACTTTCCATGCTTTCGTTGTTGTAACTGGGGACAGGAGGACTACCGCACGTCGACCTCTACGGGTGGCTAACAACAGTACCGGCATAATGGGTGATTGCATTCTAACACCTGCATTCCAGCCAAGGATCCTGCGGGCTAGGGTATTAGTCTCGTTCCCAGACCCTGCCCCTCCGCGAGGGAAAGAGGGTCTGGGAAGATTTTCTTGCATTTTTGATGTTTACGTAATTTTATAATCATGCACTTGTGCACGTGCGCCTTTACAAACCTAAGCTAAAGAAGCCAGGATCGACGTCAATGCTGCCCAAATGCCGCTAACACTTGAAACAAACCTGTTCTAACTCACCAGCGACCTTCATACCCCTCCAGACTCATAAAACACAGCTTACATACGTTTGAAGACAGAGTTTTGAAAAGATACCAGTAGCGTCACAGCACCACTGCAACTACCGACGGCATCTCGGAAAGTGTTTTGGAGCACGCTAAACTGTCTATCTCCAGCTCTAGACTGCTAGCTTTATTTGCTAGTCACGCGTGATTGTTACGTGAATTTGAACGTGTGTCACATGATACTTGCGTGACAAACGAAATCCTGCAATCTGCATGCAATCTGCAAATCGTCCCCCAGTGCCAAGAAAATTGAAATCATGTTTTCATCGTCATCTTCAGATTAGACACCAACTCAAAAGCTAAAATATATAAAGCCATGAAATATTTCATGAATGTAGATATCCAAAACCGGATGTGTATGGTCATACTTATTTGACAATGTTGTGTGCTATAAGCAACAACAAATAGCCCCAGGCAATACATTATAAAAGGCACACATGTATCAGTGTAACTCACAGATTGTAAGAGCTATACGAACGAAACTTTTTATATTCAATCACTGACATCCAAATCACAACAATACATGTTTGTTAACAGCAACAAATAACCTCAGGCACTTTTGTTTAAATTTACTGCTTCACTTCTCAAACTTTACACTCGTAGCGGTGAAACTTTGTACGCATACATATTACATCGTTTCCATGACGACCAAGTATTGTTTGGAAAATAGCCTCAAGCAATTTTCTTTAAAATTACGTCTTCGCTCCTCAAACGTGTCAACAGTTGCACACATGGAGGTGAAACTTGGTACCTATGTGTATTACATCATTTCCATGCTGGCCACATTTTTTGAACATCAGCAAATAGCCTCAGGCACTTTCTTCAATATTACTTCTTCACTACTCAAACTTGTTAACGGTAGCACGCATGGAGATGAAACTTCGTACCTCATGCATACTTTCAATGACGACTACGTAATTAGCCCTCGGCGCGCATGAGCAGCGAGGGTTACTGTACTGGGTTCGAGAGTCTGTCTGTTACTATGTTTTCTCCAACTACGCGCAACAAACCAGCGATACCAACGGTTCATCGCTACACTGGCTTCATTTTTAAAAAGGCAATTTTCGTATAACTCAAAAGTTATGGTGTGCATAGCAAGTGAACAAGCCAATATGCAAATTAGCACAGGCTTACCTCGACCGGGTCAACTTGCTCTGTGTACCTTGGAGGCACAAGAAGTCACAATGAGTGGTGTGTATGGACTCCCGCATGCTGCCATCTGCTACTATGGCAAGAACAAATAGCATGAGGCACTTTTCTTTAAAATTAACTTTTTCACTCCTCTCCAACTTGTGGTTATGAAACTTTCTACACATGGATATTACACTGTTTCCATGCCGGCCACATATTTTTGGTCAACGGCAAATAGCCTAAGGCTTTTTCTTCTCCATTCCTCAACTTGTAAACGGTAACACACATGGAGATGAAACTTGTTACGCATGCGTATTCATGACGACCACATGTTTGTAAACAACACTGGCATTTTCCTCTATTTTTTATTTGTGTAGGGGGCTTGCCCCCTTTTACAGAGATATACATAGTAGTATATGAAAGGGTGGAGACAAGTAAATTAAAAGTCCTGCTAATTTAAAAATGTGATGGTATAAAAATAAAGGGAGACAAAATAAGGATTGCATGCACGAAGCATGGTTAACCTGTTCCTCGCACGAATTTCGTACGCGTTGGATATTTCTTCCCCAAGCCACGACACTTTTTAGACTGTAGTCAAGCCCAGTACTGACCTGCACATGCGTATTGGTCTAATGCGACTTGTGTGTGCATCTTCAGTGCGCCGAAGGTAGTTTAGTACATATCACCGAAATGTTGCATTCTACTCAGTGTAAACACATGCGTATCTTTCATGCTTACAGGGAATACCATCACTATTGAAGAAGCTATAGAGAAAATGGGTTTTGGACCATTCCAGATTCTTATAACTGTCTTCAGTGGATTGCTCTGGGTTTGTACCATTGACCTGCATTGTCTTCATCACATTGGTTGAAGTTGTATCTCATTAAGTTTCACTCCAGAAGTTTTGCCCATTACGGTTCTGAGAAGAACGCTATCCCGTGTGTGTGCTTAGAGCTCATGTCCTTAGAATCTTTCACGCTTAAAGGTGAGAGAATACTCTTTTGTTGGCATTTCCGCTCACTAGCTCTCTCACAGAAGAGTGGTATGCCTGGAAAGCACGATGGATAAATCCCACAGGTAGAGAGCTTCCTTCCCTTCGCATGAGATCAGGATCAAGATGATCAAAAAAGTATGCTGCACTTAAAACTCATCCACTTTGCAATAGGGTAGGAATGTGCAGCAGCATTTATAAGTCTAAATGTGATTTTGACCATTTCTTATGGCTTGGCACAGTTGTGCAATATAGAACTATGGAAATGTCTGTTGTGTTTTGGTCTGATGTTGCTTGCTTCTTCGGGAGAGCTCGACAAACTTACCTGAAGTCTAAGTAGCCATAAAGAATGTAGCTATGTTGAAACTTCCGGTTTTTTTAATAAATCTCCGTGATCGGCATGCTTATGGAATGAGAATTTACGGTCTTATGGTCTTTGGAACTGTTGGTGATGTTGCGTTTTAATTAATACCTCAACTTATGTACTATGGCGGTTGTGTGGAGATATGACCTTAATAGGGTGGAGTCACCCGTAACCCACCCATTTATTAACCCTCGACGCGCATGCGCAGCGAGGGTTACGGTAGTTGGTTTGTCTGTCTGTCTGTGTGTGTGTGTGTGTCGACGCTTATTCTGGCACTACAGGCTACGAGGCGGCCCATTAGCGATACCAGCGGATTCAGAACTACGGGAGCCTGAAATTATTAGGCGATTTTCCTGAAACGACTTTGTTCGAGAGATATGCCGTGAAAACAAGCGAAAAAGCCAAATCGCACTGGCTTACCGCGACCTGATCCGCTCGCTCTGTGTACCTTGGGGGCTCAGGAAGTCACAACGAATGGCATGTATCGACTCCCGCATGCTATCTACTACTGTAGCTAGCCCGTGTCTGACTCTCCGCGGGCTACTAGCGGAAGACCACGCATACAAATAGCCGGCCCAGCCCATCAATTTGCAGTGTCGCGCATGCACAGTTCGCCGAGGGTTTGCACTTTAGTGCTTTTCATTAACAATGGGAATTGAGCTTGGGGGAAGAACTGCTACATTTCACCCATGTCAACACTAGCCTTCCCAGGTTTACCTTTCCGTGTGCACAATTTATGCCTATGACCTTTGACCTTAAGAAAAGGGGAACATGTATACATCTGGGCACCGTGAAAAAGGTCAGAGATGACCACCATTTTAGGCTAGTGTTTCAGGGTGGATGCTGTTCCATGTGTATGCTACAGAGTAGGCGGAGCAAGAGTGAGAGGATCAAGCAAAGGACGACTAACTGGCTGGAGCCGCCTTGCGAGCTTCATACGAAGTAGCCATGATATGATGCCACAATTGCAACTGCTTAAGATATTATGAACAAACGTTAGAGGCAGATGGGTCAGAGCGTCAGGTATATACACGCCCCACAACGGCAATAATCTCTGGAGTGGGTGCACTTGTTGCCTGGTATCATGGCTTATTCACGAGACGCTTGAGATGCGGCTCTAACCAGTAGGTCGTCATTGCCTGGTCCTAGAAAATATTCAAAATATTCTCCCTGACCCTCCGCCTACTCCATTTTCTTCCATCAAATGGTGTCCACCCCGAAAGTCTAGCATCAAATGGTGTCCACCTTACATGCCCAGATGCCGGGCTTCCCTCTTCTTTTCTCTACGTCAAAGGTCATATGTGTAATTGTGCATGCAGAAAGGGGGAACCAGGGAAGGAGGCTAGCCCACGACTTTGCACAGACGACGATGGGCTTTTCTACTAATAACTCTCCCTCAAGCCCCTCATTTTGACAAACTGCGCCCTGCCGGGCGCCCCTTCTGATGTTAACTAGGACTTACCACAATTAATCCTTAAATATCGGTCTTATCAGGAAACCTCCCAAACCCCACCTTGTCACCTTCGCCATCTGATCACCTCTTCCAAAACCCCACAGTTGTGTACTCATATGAGTCGTGTGGATATATACAAGAGGAATTGAGCTTGGGGGAGGAGATGCTTAACTCCACTGCTGTGTATAGGTGCCCCCCAAGGGGACCTCCCCAACGTGAACCCCTAATGCCCCCTCTCTGTTAGCTGTGCATCACAATCATAGTGTCACTGCCACTGCTAGCTGCTCCTGAGTGATCTTCATGTACTGCAAGTGTGCCACACCTTCCACCCTCTATCTTTATTACACAGGTTCACCTTTGGGTCTTACGAAGTTCTATAGTGTTCATCATTTCTCCTCACATGTATGTAGAAAAGTATTTCCTGCTGCCCAAAAGAGTTTTGTGTCTTGTGGGGCCTTGGGGAGATGATTGAATACTTTTAGGCGATCGGTCGCCCACCGCCCTCCCCTCCCTTCATTCCTTGCGACTCGACCCACTTAATACTTCGGAGTACATACCTGTATTCAAGTTGTTTTGGCCAGCTGTCACCCCTAACCGATCACCTTTGTCTAGTTGACACAAAGCGGACAGATACTGTAGGTCTTGACTATTATTCTTTAATCCCTCATTTGCCAATCAAAAACTGCAAATGAGCACAACTCCTGGGCGAGATGTGGTGTCATAGCCGCTGCTTGACAGAATCTTATATAGCGCTCTTAAGTTGAGGGGCTAGATCTATGTTCATAATAGCACTGCGTTGACGGCATTCTGAGCAGATGCTTATGCTAGCCCACCAGCTGAAGTGGCATGCTTATCATGGAAATCTTTTTGAAAGTATCTGCCATTGGGGTTTATGAGTAGCCATCGCCGTGTACTCATATTGGCCCTCTTGATTGCCCCTGCTACAAACGAGGACATACCTCATTAATACCCAGTATGTAGGGTATGCCACAAGTGCAGTACCGCTAACGCGTATGGGAGGTGATTACGGCCAAAAGTGACGCTAATTGATGGGCTGGGCTACTAGTGTGTTGTCTCCACGCTAGTAGCTTGTGGAGAGTTTGACACGGGCTAGCTACAGCAGTAGATAGAATACGGGAGTCAATACACGCCCTTCGTTGTGACTTCTTGTGCCTTCAAGATACACAGAGCAAGCGAACCCGCTCAAGGTAAGCCTATTCTAAATAGCATATTGGGTTTTTCGCTCGTGTTCCTGCCGTAACTCCCGAACGCAGTTTCAGAAAAGAACAACATAGACACACAGACACACACGACAAAGTGTGTACAAGTCCCAACTCAATGCATCGCTTGACATTGGCAGACACAGCATTCACATTTGATTGTTTCATATTGTGCTTGCTGTGCAGGTTGTGGGTTTATTCACCTTGTGCCACAGAATGAGTAGGTCCACACATCTGACAGCTGTAGTAGTCTCACTGACAACAGCTCTAAGTAAGTTAATCCACTGGTTTTCAGCTATGATTGCAGAGTTTTGCGAGGCTAATGGTGTACGGACGCTTTGTTGGAAGACTTTTAGCTAGTGGACCTCACAGGTGCAACTCTCTATTTTAGTCAATTCTCTGTGTAAAAGTATGGCCTACGTACTTCTTTTCTACAGCGGCGCAAGAAAGTTGCAGCAGCTTGAATTGTTGCGCCTTGTTTTAACAGCTATGATAGGCATACACACTTTTTCCTTTACTTGTAGCATTCGTTGTCCATTGCAACTACACCGAAAACTTTAATGAGTATGATTCCCATTTTTAACCCTTGACATGCATGCACAGCGAGGGTTGCAGTACTTGGTTTGGAAGTGTGTGTGTCTGTCTGTCTGTCTGTTACTACGTTTTCTGCTACCATGCTTAAAAAATTATAGTAACAGATTCAATGCGACATTTAGCAGTTGCTTACCTTGACCGCATTCCACATGTTTGCGTACCTTGGAAGAATCATACGCACTTTAGTGCTCTTCATTTCTATAGAATCACAAAAGATACATATGCATGTTACATGTGTATAATGCAGATGACTAACTCTGCTTACTTTATAAAAGTAGCTAGAATGTCGAGTATGAAGTTACTTGAAGCTTTTGTAGCGGGTGAAATGTCCATAAATTTTTTAACCAGCGTTTATCAGTGTATAGCAAATATTGTACTTATGGCGGCATATCACGCATAAATTGGCTTGCTAGACACAATCATTGCACTTTGTATTTACTTCCCTCTAGCTTGCTGATGCAATGGAGCTTATGATATTATCAGTTCTAGCTCCTGCTGTACAGTGTCAGTGGGGATTAAGCCATGCAGAAGCAGCTACAATAACATCTGTGAGTACTAAGAAGCCTTAGCTGTGCTATCTGGTGTTAATTGTATGCGTCATAATGGGAAAGTACGTAATTAAAATTCTGCCAAATTGTGTTGGCGTACATTTTTTATAGGATAGCTAAAACCTCTGGATTTATAGTACATTGTGTCAGGTCGCAACATAACAGTATTCTTAAGGTTCGCCGAATTGTGTGGGCGTCGATATTTTAGTTTAGCATGGCTAAAACGCTCGTGAATTATAGTGAATTTTGGTACCTTTCTCGGATTTTTCACTCCTTGTTTTAGAAGCTCATTAGCATATTCATGTTCCTCCTCCATACATTCTCTATGGGAAAAAAACCAGTGCGCGACTTCACCAGGAGCAAACGGTTCGTCGCCATTATGCGCAGCGGATTTATCCGCCTCCTACTGTACACACAGGCATATTAGAGCCTATTCGGAAAAATTGGCGTAGCCCCTGCTTGGCAACGGTCAATGAATACGTAATACTCAAAACATGGCCACACCAATTTTTGAAACTGCGGCTCTAATACGCTTGTGTGTACCGTAGGAGGCGCTACTGCGCATAATGGCGACGAACTGTTCGCTCCCGGTGAAGTCGCGCACTGGTTTTCTCTCCCATAGAGAATGTATGGAGGAGGAATATGAATATGCAAAAGGTACCAAAATTCGCTATAATTCACGAGCGTTTTAGCCATGCTATTGAAAAAATAACTAAAATATTGTTGCCCGCACAATTTTGGCGAATCATAATCCTCCTCCGGAAAACAAATTAGCAACTCAACCAGAAACTAACTGTTTTCACAGTTGTGCGCTTCTTGCCTCCTACAGGCCTATTAGAACCTATGAAAAAACACTCAAGTGCAGACCCTTGGCATAAGAAACACACACACGTAGCATTAATGTGCACGATACACATGCACAAATAGCACTGTTAGTTTAATGGATCAGGCCACGTCCTGCCGTCGACGGAGCCAGTTTCTCATTCTTACAAGGCTAGCTGCATCAGTCATAGAACAACACTGGACTCGATATCCCTCTAGCTTCATCCCTCAATGGTTGGGCCGATTATGCTAAACGTGGTCAAGGTAAGCTGGTGCTGATTGTGCATAGTGGGTTTTCCACTTGCCATACCTCTCAAATGTAGTCATTTCAGCCTTTCATGTTCTCGTAGTTCCTTTGCTGCAGACAGACAAACGCACACACCATAGATCAAAAACACAAACAGGATTGGCAATACCCGTATGCCGGGCCAACCATCCACATATCCCTACAGGAATCTACACCCATAATTTTAGCACAGTGTGAATAGAGCGAAAGTGCCAACCGTGCAACCCACGCTAAGGTTAGTTAAGACAGTGTGCAATACCAACTGACCTGTACACTACTTTACATGATACGTGTGGCTTAGGTTCTTTATAACAATGCATAAAGATGGACACATCAATTACAGGTACACAGAAACAGACAAATGAGTGATAGTTGTTGAAAACAACATACAACACACACATAACCAACTTGAAAAAATCGGCACATTACCAAGCGTGTCCACTCTGTATTCCCGTCACAAAGATTGGTAGAAGGTTTTTGGAAGTGTTGTGAGCGATTAAGTGTGGGCAGGGCAGGGAAACACTGATAACATCAAGAGCCTGCCGATGGTGCACATTTTTCAACGTAAGGATAGTGTGATGTTTATGCGTTGCCAACCCCCTTTAGGTTTATTGTGCATATACACAGGCCAAGGGTTAGAATATGGTCGCAACTTCCGTGTGACATTGGTCAACGACTACGTAATGCTCAGAATGTGGTCACACCAATTATACAAACTAGCTCTTATGTGGTTTAGAGGCACAAATAATGCCACTGCAGATAACTCCAAGGAACCATTTGCTACTAGTGAAGGCACTATTGCTCCAACAGTTGACTAGTTATACGAATATGCTGATGAGCATCATTATACCCAATTATTTTTAGCTGGAACACCTTTGCATTAGTCCATAGGGGGCACTTTATAGAAAACTAAGTATAGTGCTCATACTTGCAAATTGGACATTCTATATTCAGGGTAAGTATGCAAACATACGCACTGATGTCACCCTTTTTTAAATCACTTGCATGGCTTCACCATATATACACAATAGTAAATCAAAAGAGGTAACGGAGTAGTCAACTGTTTTGTCTATTTGCCTTCGGTTTCGTCAGTTTCAGATAATGCCTCATCGTTCCTGTGCATAGCATCATAAAAATTATATGTAATCTGGAGGTACATGAGTACTTATCGACTAGTTTTTTGACGTCAGCTAAATCTTTTTGTTGGCTTTAGTGGAAGGAGTGGGGTGCTTTTTGGCTCCGTTTGAAGGATCGGTATTGCCCCTTAGTTTTTTCAATCTCAAACATGGTCAACTGTTCGTTTTCGCCTTCATGCAACTCCACCACCTGAGAAGGATGCGTATCGGAGTAATCAAACACTCTCGCTTTCTTGATGCCATAGATCTAACTAAAATGGTGCTAATCCGGCTGTATAGTCGACAACCATTTCCTGGGACACAGGGGCAACAGTTAAGGGGTTCTGCTTCCTTGCACTCTTGATGACATCATACCACTGATCTAGCGTGTAAACTCTCTCCTGTCACTTTTTTGGTCTCGGTGAGGCCACCGTGCATGACAGTATTCATTCTTGTTCTGTCCAGGGTATCCATCACTGTAGAGATACAGGGTTGTCACCTCCTGCGGAAGACTATGGAGAAACTTGTCTAGGCATAAATCAATGTCACTACTCCCCTTTGCAACAATGAACTCTGGCGAGCAGTACATTACTGCTTTTATTGTCACCACATTCGTGCACCCCAAACAGAGCTGGTGCATATAAAACACTTCGCCTATAGGGATGTATGGCAGAGGGAGGTTTTGCTGGAATTCAAATGTGACAGCGGCAATGTGAGAGTTGAGTTTTGCTAAGCGTCGGTGCATATGCTAGCTGAAGTAGAAATATTTTGCTCGTCGGAGATGGTCTTCCTTCTAGGCACAGAGAAAATATCTTCTGTGCACCCTGTGCTGACTCTTAACATTAAGGGTGTCTAAGTGCTACATGTGTCTGATTTCTGGTAACCAATTATTAAATTCTTATTGAAGTGCTTCAAGTAATGGCCATAACTAACTTTCGGCTTTACTGCTTGAGCCTCACACGTCTAACTACAGGCTATGCATCTCTACTACAAAAGTGGGGACTGGTATATACTTGCGTCGCTTACTAAGATGGGGTCTTGAATAGCGGGATTTCATGACTGGAAAGCTACGGATATGATCATAAATCTGCTTCCTACTCATTTTTCAGTGTTTCGAATGCTTTCCGCATCGGTCAGGGGGGGGGGGGGGTCATGGAGATTCCAAACTCCATAGATGACGCAGTGATATCATGTAACCTAGCAAATGCTTAAAATATACGACAATATCTTTCCTAGGAAAGCAAATCTGAAGCAAAAGACAAAAAAAGATAGTATCAACTACCGTCATCTCTATAATTATTATACTTCACGATTAGGACTAGAAAGTACATCACCTCAGCAGTAGTCCCCTACAACTACAGACTAACCCATTGAGCACACCCAATATCAGATGCCAAGTTTACCACAAACCCAGCCAACACTTAGTGCAAAGATAAAAATACACAGCCATGTGACTGACCCCCGCCACAATCAACATACACACACTTAGTAGGTTATGCATAAAACAGTGAAGAGAGAGAATATCTACTCACATGGTAGATGTATGAAGTTCTCCTCCGTGTGACCCCAACTTTTCCTAGGCTTTCTTTTGATGGGTCTAGCTGAGATAAAGGTGAAAAGGTAAACGTCTTGCACTTCTTTACTTGCAAGATTAATTGCTTCAGAAGATCGGCTTTCTCAGCACTGCTGAAGGCATCTTAACATCTCCGCTTGCACTTGAACGCTGGCCCTGTTTCACGTGGCCCAACCGTTTTACCCATAGTTGGAGAGACGTAAGCTTCGCTTTTGACCCTTTTGCCCTTAGTGACATTCTTTTTCAACGCCTAAGGCATTTTTTCGGTCACTTATGGGTGTCACTGCTACCGTTGGAAGTGCTCTCCCCGCAGGCAATAGCAGACGATGTCACCATGTGTATATCACAACTCGACGATTCCACCGCTGCTAACAGCTCCCTCGTAGGGGTGGCAGTCAGAATATACTTGGGTCACTAACATGATGAAAGGGTTTTCTCTATGGCTGTACAGTTCACAAAGACCCAAATGCAAGAGGACTTATTGCCTTATAGCAAGGGTTTGTTTTTTAGGAGAGCAGATTTTGCCTGAATCAGATGAGCGCCAATGTGACCTAATTGCTGGAGCAGTGGTTGCTTAGCCAGGCAGTGGTAGAACAAGTGGGTTCAGAATCTTATGTATCTGCTGCTCTTAGCAGGTCTGTATGTCATGTGAAGAACAGACTTATTTTTAAACCTCAGCGTGCATGCGCAGGGAGGGTTACAGTTTGTATCTGTTTGTGTGTTTGTTTGTCTGCAGCTATTCTTGCATTAAGGCGGCCTGAAAGCGCTACCAACGGCTTTAGAACTACATGAGCCTGAAAAATAGAATGGCGATTATCGTGAAATGCCTGTGTTCGAGAGATATGCCGTGAAAACTAAGCAATATGCATAATCGCACTGGACTTTTTCGACCTAATCTGCTTGTGCTGTGTACCTTGGAGGCACAAGAAGTCACAATGAAAGGTGTGTATCGACACCTGCATTCTATCTACATACTAGTGAGCGAGCTAGCCTGTGTCATGCTCTCCGCAATCACTAGCAGAGGCCACAAGTAAAGCATGCCAACAATAAGCGGCACCAAGCATGAGGGTTTGCACTTCATTCTTCATTCTGAATATCAATGATTGGAGGGTTAGTTCATGCCACAAACATAGCATATTTATTAAGAATCTCTGCTTGGCTTTTATTGTCGCAACAACCGCAGGAAAATCATAATTTAGGTGCATTTTATATCAGACTGGTTTTCAGAATTAAATTTTTTATCAGACTGATAATGTCAGAATTAAAAGTTGAATTGGATTTCTAAATGGATTTTTGTAAGACTTTCACTTGTTATTGTACATTTGATGGCACTTTTTACTTCCTTATAGGTGGTATTTGTAGGCTTTCTCCTGGGTGGATTGATCTGGGGAGTAATCTCAGATATAATTGGAAGGAAAAGTGTAAGCATATTTTTTACAGTTTGAGGTGTCCATAGTACTATAAAACATCAACCATTATGGTGGTCATTTTACAACACTAAAGTGCAAACCCTCGGCGAACTGCACATGCGCGGTACCGCTAATTGATGGCTTGGGCCAAGAGTATGCGTTTACTCGTGGTTTGCTGCTAGTAGCTCGTGGAGAGCTTGACACGGGCTAGTAGGTAGCATGAGAGAGTCATTACACGGCCTCCGTTGTGACTTCTTGTGCCTCCAAGGTACACAGAGCAAGCGGACCCGGTCGAGGTAAGCCTATGCTAATTTGTATATTGGCTCGTTCACTTGACAACTTTCGAACACAGCATTTTAACCAAAATCGCGTGGCACAGTGTGGCACTGAACCCGTTGGTATCTATTTTTAGCTGGGTTTTGCACATAGCGGCAGAAAACGTGGTAACAGACGGACGGACAGACGGAATGACAAACCAAGTACTATAACCCTCGCTGTGCATGCGCGCCGAGGGTTAACATGATTATGTGTCCAGCTTTATGCCACACAAAGTTTGCAGAAGTATGTACGCAGTTTGTGCACAAACATGGGGCTTCTACAATACAAAATGTAATATGGCAATACGGTAGGTACTTAGCTTATCGATGTCAAAGGCCTAGTTAACCGTCGGCGCGCATGCGCAGCGAGGGTTACGGTACTTGGTTTGTATGCCACGCCTTCTCGGGAGAAGAGAAGGCCTGGTGAACTGCCTATAAGCCACTTGTTCCTCAGGAATGTTTGTCACGTTATCATGAGCCGCCATATCATAACATCGTGTAATAAGCTCACATTGTGCGTGGTCTACACCACTCAATTGAGAGTCTCTGTCTAGGTTTTTGCCAGTGCCAAAGACTCCACAGTGTACCGAGAGTCACTGTAGAGTCCCGAGTCCTACCTACTGCCCGCGCCAGAGAGAGCGTGTATGGGAATAGTGACACGGTGCCCTCAGAGTTCAGCCGATGCCACACTGTCTGTAACTGGGGTTGGGCAATAAGGTACACTCCTTACTGGGTAAAAGACCCGAGCGCAGTATAGGATTCGGGTCAAAAACAGCAAGAACAAAGACAGCGCGAACCAATCACGTTCTGCGCGACCACTGAAAAAGTGTGGGCCATTTACGTGATTGCAATCTGATTGGTCTAGCAGGAATTCCTTCAATAGGGAATAAGTTGATGTATGGCAATTCACCAGGCCTTCTCCAGCACGTGGATTGAGTAGGCGAGGCTAGTTGGCCAAGTGGTCTAAGTGGTTGTCCTTGAGAAACGAGCGTATTATTCACTGCCCGAGTTCGAATTCTTGGTGGTAGTTTTTTTTCACAGCTAGCATATCATTATTTTATGTAAATTTCTGGTGTGCTCATATTATTACGGCTACACTATGCTAAAAATTGCTCCAATAATAGCACTTGTTCTACGCCGAGGGTTTGCACTTTAGTGCCAGTCATTAACCCTCGGCGGGCATGCGCTGCGAGGGTTACTATACTTGGTCCGTAAGTTTTTCTGTCTGTCTGTTACCACGTTTCTGCAACCACGCGCAACGAGGAGCGATACCAAAAGGTTCAGCGCTATACCGGCTTGATTTAAAATTTGCCGATTTTCGTAAAAGCAATGCGTTCGACAGTTATGGTGAAAACCAAGTTAACAAGCCAATATGCTAATTAGTATTCGTTTACCTCTAGAAACGCATGCGTGTGTTACACTGGCGGGTTGCGCACAATGATCACGTGTTTCTCGCCGTAAATAGCACTGTTGAGCGGCCAGGGTTTCATTTTTCTTGTGAGGGCAGCACCTGAGCAAACTTCTGGTCGTTTCTGGTGAAAATACTTTTTTGAGCTGGCAATCAGCACTCGTAGATTCCACGCATTGTATGCAGAGAGGGGGGGCTGACCGATGGAGAGCGATAGACGCCTGAAGAAGGTATGTCCGCAGTGGGCATACCTTTCCGTCAAAAGGAAAGTGCATCGAAGAACTTTATAGACACAACAAGAGAATTTTGCGAGAACAGAGCAACACAGACTACGTAAACAGAGCACAAGGGCAGCTGAAACGTACGACCAAATTTCAGCCCGGTGAGACTGCGTGAAGAAACCACAAGAGCCTCTGAAACAATATTGAGCAGACGTTGCACAGGCATGAATGTGACAGACTGCATAAAGCTATACTGGATACTTCTGATACTTGAGCTATTCCACGCCGCCGAGGGTTTTGCACTTTCCTCTAAAGAATGCAATTACTTTTCAGTAAATATTCTACATTTTAGCCCTTGTATATTGCACCTAAAACAGTGTGCATTGCAATGTGGTATACATTGCTGTCCACTATCTAGTAATTAATCGTGATATTTCTTACCACAGACACTTCTTATAGTAAATATTTGGATATTGGTTTTTGGAGTTTTAAGTGCCATTAAGGTTGCTGCTGATGATCCAAGTGGTAAGACTTTTGGATATCCTTGGTTACTCTCATGTCGTTTTGGTGTTGGATTTGGAGCTGGTGGAACTGCACAGGCGTAAGTATGCACAACTAATCCAAAGTACAAAACCATCAGCCCGTAAAGATGCACATGTTTGCCCAACTAACCAGTTTTACAATGCTGCAACATACAAATTTTGATTGCTACACCATAGACAAAAACACTGGTCAATGACACTAATTGATTTGCTGGGCTACAAATATACTCAAAATTTCTCACTAGCATCCTGATAGGCTTCCAATACACAGGTAGAGATGGCAGTTGGATTTTTTGTGTTTCACGCGCATTTAGAATCATGTATCACTAAGTACGGTAGTACTTACTATATAGGGATGGGCATTGTACCTAGCATCATAGATGTAGGGGGCTATGATAGGGAGTTTTGTTCATCTTCTCCTTCTCCTTCATCAGATTGAACTCGCCTAACTTAAAAACGAAGTAACATAATAATAATAATCATCATAATAATATAGTAATGAAATTTTGTAAGAATGTACATATCCGTCACCGAAGAGACTGGTCATACTTACTTGTTTGTAAACAACAACAAATAGCCCTAGGCAATGCATTATAATGGAATCACATGTGTCAGTGTAACTTGCAAATGGTAAGACAAACGAAACTTTGTATTCAATCACCAACATCAAAATCACAACAATACATGTTTGTAAACAACAACAAATAGCCTCAGGCACTTTTCTTTAAATTTACTTCTTCACTCCTCAAACTCTCTAATGGTAGCACGCATAGAGGTGAAACTAGGTATGCATGGGTATTACATCATTTCCATGACAACTACATGTTTCCATGACACAAACACATTGTTTGAACAACAACAAATAGTCTTTCTGAATACTTATTCACTCCTCAAACTTTCTAAACTTGTTACGCATGTGTATTACATCGTTTCCATGACAATCTGAAAAACAATAAATAGCCTCAGGCACCTAATTACTTATTCACTCCTCACACTTGGCAATTCTCGCTAACGGTAGCATGCATGGAGATGAAACTTGGTAGGCATGTGCATTACATCGTTTACATGACGACCGCATTATTTGAACAACGAAAATAGCCTCAGGCAGTTACTTCTTTACTCACTAACGGTAGCACTCATGGAGATGAAACTTGGTATGCATGCTTATGACATTGTTTTCACGACGACCACATATTGTTTGAACAATAACAAATGGCTTCAGGTGCGCATGGGTATTAAATCATTTCCATGACGACAACAGGCATCTTTATCTATTATTAATATTTATAGGGGGCTTGCCCCCTTTTATAGAGATATACGTAGTAGGAGTGGAGACAAGTAAATTAAAAGTCCTGCGAATTTAAAAAAGAGGCATATAGGGATGGTATAAAAAGAAAAGGAGACGAGATAGAGATGGGATACATGAAGCATAGTTAATGAACAGATTTGAGCACGCTGACATCCCGGCTCCATCACACAATCACTATATTGTTGCCTAGGTGAAGTGTTAAACGTTCAACATTACGCAATAGTCAGGACTTACAGCTAAAAAAAGGTCATGCTACTGAGTAACCAAGGGTCCAAATGGAGTTTGCGAGTGGCACACCAGGCAACAATATAGGGATTTTGTGATGGGGTCGGGGTGTCAGCGTGCTCAAATCTGTTCATTAACATTTCTTCATTTATCCCATCCCTATCTTGTCTCTCTTTCTTTTTTTACATACCATCCCTATACGCCTCTTTTTTTAAATTCACAGGATTTTTAATTTACTTGTAATTATAATGCAGTGTTGTTGATATAATTATGTAGTTAACTTTCCGGGACTCTCAAGTGACCGCAGTTTGTAGGTCACAGTGGGGTTCAGCTGCAATTTTTTGGATAACTTTCTCATGACTTATTCTCCACCAAAAAACCCTTTATTCTCACCACTGTTTATTTGGTACACACTATAGAGAGGACCATGAGGATAACAGACTGCAACCATACTATGGGAAGTGATCACTGCCAAAATTAGCGACTGAATAAGAAGAGGTTATTTTCATCAAGACTTGGTGGTTTTGTGATATGAGAGGTGGTACTTATGATGGAGGGGTGGTGCACGTTTATCTCAGGTTGTGCAGGTTTCGTGAGAGAGGTGATGTTGTGTGAGAGGTGTTTGCTTATCTGTATGCACATGTGCAGTGCTCGGCGCAGTGTGCGTAGGTACGTACATCTCATCAAAAAGCACCACCTCTCAATCACCTCTCAGCAAAAGTACCACCTCTCACGACACGCGCATCACCTTCAACCCACTAACGGGGCACTACCCGCCGCGTACAGCGACATTGTCAAGCCGCTCCTACTAACTTACTGCTAGGCATGACCGATGCTTCGCAAAGCAAGCTACAAAGCATCACGGGTAGATAGCTGCCTCATGTTGTTTGCTTCATGTACAGTGCTTGGCGCACTGAGCATGCACGTAGGTACCCGCACTACCTCTCAGCAAGGAGTACCACCTCTGAGTAAAAAGTACCACCTCTCCGCAAAAAGCACCACCTCTTACGACATGCACACCACCTTCAAAAATGCACACTACCTCTCAAACCACACCTCCTCTCTGTCAAAAACACCAAACCTTTCACAAAACGTGAACCACCCCTCCATCATAAGTACCACCTCTCACGTCACACGTCTTGATGAAAATAACCTCTTCCTATCCAGTCCCTAATTTTGGTGGTGATCACCTCCCATACTATACAGTCATGTACCACAACCAACTAGTCGTGCGGTGAGCTACTTACAACCCCTACATTCTGAAGTAGCTAATCGGCCACAGCTGCAGTTACACTTTGAACTTAGGCGCCCGTACAAATATATAAATAAACCAGTGGTTAATACTTGTGTGTATTCATGAGTAATGACACTGGGAGCACACTATCTCAAGAGCATTTTTGAGTTTGTTTGATGGAAAGTATGCATGAGAATGTTATTGCTATGAGTATGTGGAATGCACTACTTGTTCACAATAAGGGGTTCGTGACCACTTTAAAAATTAATGGCTTGAAATCTATGGCAAGAAACTTTATAGAATTCGAGAGAGAGGTATATACTCATGTACTAGTTTTATAGGTGCATAAAAAGTGTGTAAATCGTAAATCGTAAATGCATCTGGCACACTTGTGTAATTGTGTTGTGCATGTCTGCCTTACTGCATGTTCTCTTCCCATGTTCATGTAGCTAGAATGTCTTAACATTGGTTTGGGGTTGCATCTCTTCTTTCTTCTTTTCTCCTTTATAGCTAGTATGCTATACACATGTTCTTTCATGAA